TAATTCTGAAATTATAATTTAGAATTTATTAATACGAAAGATAATGTTTTTATATTTTTTAGTTACATGAGATTTACAATTCTGTAAATTTTCATATCAACGATGCTATCGTTGAGAATTTATCTAAACAAGCCAACTGCTCTCTCATGCAGGAATGGATATTTGAGTCTTCCAGAAACTTAAAGTTAATAATTGACGATTAAGAAACTGAAACTAAGGTCTAGCCGAAAATATGTAAGTGAAACTATTATGTTTGAAAAAAACGATCTATCCTATATTTTTACTTTCTTCTCATAAAAAATTATTTTTTATTAGTAAACTCGCAAATGATTCACACACAGCATAACAAGAAATCCTGATTCAACTCTCGTCAAAACTTTCGCAAGGAGCATAAGGAAAAAAAGAGAGAAAGCAAAATTATTTCTTCGTGATAAATCTAATTGAGGAAAATTGAGCGAACCTTGCGTCTCGTCGTTCCAGATTCGAGATAGGATAATGCACGTTCAAGGAAGCCTTCGACGATTCCCTCCCGAAAACAGCATCATTATCCTGGAATACGTAACGCGTGTGCGTATGTGACTAGGTGCTCGTAAATGCGTCGTATCGAGATATGCGCATTTATAACGTCGCCAAATCACTTTTCTCGCACTTTTCGCGACCATGGGAACATCGTGTCGTCGCTTGTCTACGGTCCACCCTGTCTGTGCGTTACGTTTCGCGCACCGCCCGGCATATATGCGCGCACACGCACGCAGACGCACGCATAAAACACAGAGGAAACACCGTCGTCAAATCACGATAATATCTGCGTCGATCAGTCGACGTTTACGTTTAAGTTTGTGGAGACTACGGGCGGATGTTGTGTGCCGAAACGGCAGATCTCTCCTGCCACAGGATCACTGTTACGCCCGTTCGCGGCCAAGGGCTGCACCCCGCCACACACCGAAAGAATCCACCACTTGCTACGATCGTAAAGATCGAAAGGAACTTTTCGCGCTTATGATATTTCCTTCGGTATGTTTTCTCGCGGATCCCGTTCGGCGGATCTTTCACGACGCACTCGCTACCATTGTTTCACCGGCGCGTAGAGTACGTAGAGGTGTGTGTATACGTCGCGGGCACTGCCGTGTGTGTGCGATATGTCGCGGCCTGTGGAGTTCTGAGCATGCGAAATGTCGTCTGCCACCCCCGCCCGGTGATCACGTGGTCGCCTGTTCGTTCGGCTCTTCTCCGTCGCACCTTCCCTTCCCTTCCCCTCTTTTCTCTCTCTCTCTCTCTCTCTCTCTCTCTCGCTCTCGTCTCTTCTTCTTTTGTCTTTCTTTGTTTCGCGCTCTCGCGATATTCCATTCGTCCTTTAACTTCCACTTTTCTATTCTTTTCTTTCTCTTTCTGTTTTTCTTCTTTCTTTTTCTCTGTTTGTCTTTCTATTCTTTAAATGGCTGCAAGTGCTCACCATGTGCATCATGAGGAAATCTCATTCAGGATAATATGTATTGTTTTTCTTCCTTGATCTCTCTCTCTTTCTTTCCCTTATTCGTTATTCTCTCTTTTCATCATCGCTTCTCTCTTCTCTTCTCTCTTTTCTCTTTACTTTTTATATTTTATGTTCTACACATATTTGTGTGCAACGATTATTAGATAATATATCTATCTTTTTTGTTTCGCATTAAAAATCGTCCGTTTCTTACTCAACCGTTCCTATTTCTTTCTCTATCTCTCTTTCTCTATTTCTCATTTTGCTTTTACTATTCGGCATACACAGACCACTCATTAATTAGAGTGAGAGGAGATCCGCACTCATGATAGGTGATGGCGCAAGAGATAAGAAAGGAGAAAAAGACGAAGAAGATGGAGACAAAGATGAGAAAAGAAAGAGTGAAAAAGAAGTCCTGACTCTAACAGGGGAGAAAGATAGTGCTACTCCCTATATTCCCTCTACATAACTGTCATCTTCTGTCACTGTTTATTTGTACGAATCGCTCGGCAATGACGCTCCTCTCTGGTGCGGGGCAGGTTTTCCAGAAAGAATAACGATTAAAAGGATCTATATGTGGGTGATCTTAGATAAGAGCCGTAGAATATGTGTTTTAGGACTTTACGAATTAGCATGTAGGATAAAAGGAAGAAAGAGAAGTGTCATTCGAATTTCTACGCCGAATGTACTATAGTTTTACATGTAAAATACTATCCTACATACTTCTTTTATTTTATCTTATATTTTTTATTTTTTGTATTAAATGTGTGTTTAAGACTGCTGTCAATCAGTTGTCCGATTTAAATTATTATCGAGTAATAAACAGCAATATAATATTTATTATAAATTGGAAAAATGATTCCGACACTGGCAAATAGAGATTGCCGAAAATAAAATTTATTAATTAAAATTCATCGATCTCTTTTTTTTTTTTTTATTCGCGAATCGTGACACAATCTCTTTCGGTCTTCTTTTCTTTTTCTCGAGGGGAAAGCGTGGGGAAGATAAAGAATTCTTGACGGGAGGTCCACGCCACCGAGGCAACACGTCATACAGTGGGTTCCTAGAAGAGGCGAGAATGTTCCCGCGTCGTTTTTTTCTCGCTTTATCGATTACGGCGCGATAAAAGCGCCGCGAGATGTGTGTCCGCTTCTTCTGTCACTGTATGACAAAACAAATTAAGGCCCGCGTTGTGAATGAAATAACGGAGGGCGAGCAGCGGCCTGCTTGCAAGATATTAAAATATAGCCTCATTTGCAACCCATAAAATTTAAAAAAAAATTCATGTTTGTCACGCGGAAAGTAGATTAAGATAAATTGACAGGAACTTATACCAATCATTAATTACGGATTGCTTTTAAAATATTTTGGTGCTTATTTTTTTACTTTTTATTTTCTTATTTCATGTTTATGTCGCTTGTAAAATGTAAAGAAATTTTCCGTAATACGCCTTAACATTCTTTTATTAAATTTATATTAAAGATCCATATAAAAGTTATGAATGAGAAAAATTGGAAGAAGAACTAGAATTTTTGAAGTTGACATTTTAATTAGAAATTCGTAGCTTTGCAGAATATATCCTTATTAATTTTGTTCTTAATCTATTTGTTTTGAAAAAGTTGTTCAGTATTTTTTGAGATAATCTTTATTTCATTAATGTTTTAGACTTGAAACCTTTTTACGGCTAATGTAACTGTAACGGCGAGGGTGAGTCTGCATTTTTCAAGAACGATATGACGAAGATGAGGAATAACATGGACGGCAATATAATTTTCTACATCTTATACCAACATCCATTGTACGTTTTCCACCAGCTTGATGGACTCTCAAATTTCGTTAAAAGTCTCTTACTAACGTTACCATAAAAGCATCTCAAGAAACTTTCCCGTTTTAAGCTCCGCTCCGCTCTCATTCGCAATTGTTTCTAAGCTTTTTTTATATCCACGATCGACAATATTTGATTGTTATATAGAATGTACAGACATATCTCGTAAGACTTCCCCGATATACTTTTCAGGAAAATCATCCTAACTAAATCTAGGCATATGGAGTAGCGCTGAATATGTTCTCAGGAGGTATATGGCTATCGACATCTTGATCAGGGCTTTGTGATTGAATGATAAAGGAGAATAATGCTTTTATATAACAGTGAGTAAGCATGCAAGGGTCGGATAAGTACGGCTAATCCAACCCTCCTGTTTTTGTATTTTCACAGTACATCAAACACAGGGATCTCTTCACATTTCTGGGAGACTGGCCATCATTGATTTATCTCTTTATTGAAATCGGCCGATCGATCGGCCTTACCACAATACTGTCTATTTGCTTCGAATGGATACAAATGCAATATTGCGTAAGTAAAATTATCGTTCAGAGATATAATAGATCATTTTATTGAACTATCTTAAAAAAGTTGTGTGTTTGATTTTTACTTGTAATATATAATATTTGTCTATATAGAATGTCACATGAGGATTTAAATATTCTTTCACAGCAGATTCTCTAGCTAATATGTTTTCATTATATAATGAAGATTTCGTGGGAGGTTTTATTAAATTCTATTAACTAAAAAATATAATTTTGTTAGTATATTAACTCCACAAGTTTTACAAAAAGTCCTTTTTTTCAATCGTTTATAACTTATTATAAATTATTGATGCATGTCGACATTTTTGCTAAAGAAAAATCGGCCTCAAGAATCCAGTGATTTTAGGACACTATATAAAAGATAAATTGCCGAAATTTTAATGCAGAAAATTAACAAAATATTTTTCCCCGATCATTCGATACTATTTATACAACATGTTTTCTCATATAAGAATATGTTTGTAATTGGTTTTCTCGATTTAGGAATAGAGATGGGATTAAATGCACGCTGGTTAAATACGGAATTCTCATGAAAAATAGTCTCTTCATTCTATCATCTCTGGAATTCAACGCTTTCCACGTACGAATCAAATTTTCAATCTTCCTCCCGAGGGAGCTCGCGACTCTCGCATCGCTGCTGCTCCTCGAGATAAGTGCGATACACCAGCTTCGTGAAAGAAATATCGATTCTAACGTGCGACGGACATTATCGCGTTTCTCAGGAGTCACTCAACGTAGAGACAGCGGGTAATAAAGGAAGACACGCCACGGAAAGATAGACATGGCGTCGACATCATCCTGCAGTGGGTTGGTCGTAACCGCACGGTCAGTGGAGAAATGGCGGAATAATGCTTTTGGTGATATGTTTAATAAGGATTTTTTTTTTTTGCAAACTGCGAAAAAAAGAGAATATGTATATATATATATATATATATATATAATGGTCTTTATCTTTAAGATATATAATGTACATAGTAGGAGTATGTATGTGACGACCACCCAGGTGTATGTATATACTTCATTGTGCGCTCCAGGAAAAATGCAGGGACATAGAGACGTATACGGTGTCGTCGTGGGATCTGCGAGGTGGGCCCTGAGGTATGCGTTTTATTGTTATAACGCCAGGAACATTATTATCTTAACCCTTAGAATATAATATCGATCTTCGAGATCACTATTCAACCTCTATATATTTTACCTTTTTATTCTTTTTACATATTTTAACGAACAATTTCTTGTTGAAAAATATATATTTTCTTTTTTTAATTTCACTTTATTTTTACTATTTACATTCTTCTGAGAAAGAAAAAGAGTTTAGCGGTAATATGAAAAATTAACTAGGCGGTCCAAAAGATCGAAATATTGGACGATATGAAAATGAGAATTAATATTTTATGTGATCTAAATTAATTTAGTGATTTTAATAAGTCAGGCATTTTGCCTTCGTGTTAATATTGTCAGTATTACGTATTATATCAACATTTGTTATCTGGAGAGAATTTTATGGAAATTCCTAGAATGCGGTTTATCGATCATAATCATTCATTGTTTCGAGTGTTTGTTGTAGACCCACGTGGAGGATTGTCATGAATCATGTCAAGTTCACCTTTAGATAGAGGATTGCAGAGTTAATGGATATATACATATATCAGTACACTCAACGTCAATGAGGATCCGAAAAAGATAAATGAGCTACCACATATTCATGTTAAACATATTGATTAGAGCCAGTAATCAAGTTCCATCGGGGATTCCACTTAGGATCGTAGCAGGTTTGCAACGCGATCTTTTTTGAAAAATAATATCGTATTAACACGCAAGAGGAACACGCGGCGTGTGCTTATAAAGTACGGTCCTGCAAAAGTGGACGCATACACGTGTGGTAGAGATCCTGCGTGAGTTTCGGGGCAGAGCTAAGTAAGCGCGAGAGATAACTCTCTCCCCGTTTTGCGCGTGAGTATGTATTTGGAGATGAATATATATATATGCAACGAGGAAATATCTGTCTGTGTGTGTGTGTGTGTGTGTGTGTGTGTGTGTGTGTGTGAGTAGGTAGATAGGTATGTATCAACGTGCGTTCTCCCTCCGTTATACAGGGTGTTTCGCTGCTAAAGAGAAAGTCATACTCGTTATACATATATGACCGGCCGGGAAAAAGAAAAAAAGGACACGTGATAAAATTGACCCTATAGCAAGGCTGTTAAAAAAAAAACTGTTCAAAATCAATGCTTTTTTCAAAGTCGATTATTTTTTGTTCGCATCTTATATACCAAATACGGTTTAAAGAAATTGTACATACAATATTATGATATTTCGTGAAATTTTCTAGATATAAAAAATAAACGAAGAATTCTCTTTTCAAGATGTCTAATTTACTATTTATAATTTTATACTAATATTACTATAGTTTTCATCAGGGTGTATAAATAATTGAGCTGCATTCTCGCTGCGAGATCATCTTCAGATTCCGCGATGATGAACGAATGATTTTCGGCAAGGACACCCTGTGTGTGCATGCAACGCAGGCGCAGGCAGCTGTCACCTTACACCCATGGAGGAGGAGGAGGAGGTATGGGGCTGCGGCGGCCATTCTCAACTTATCTCTAGGATCTTTGTAAACATGTCGTGAAATCCGAGTATTCCGACAGTGGCGTAGATCACAGGGTGGAAAGGATCTATCAGGAGGCAGGGAATCAAAATCGAGAATCGGCAGCGCCGTCGTGTAATTTTAAGCCCTAATTAAACGCGCAAAGATCTCATCTTTGTGCTTATTCGTACGCAGATCCAATCTTTTTTAGAGCGGCGCAGAAAATTCCGTTGCCGATATTTATATGCAACCGCGTAATCTTTGATGTCCGAAGACGAAGATCCTCGTGGCATCGCGACGCCGCATGTGGTTCCCCTGACAACCGGGATCGCCAGTGGCAACGTCACTAAATGGAGAGCGCATCTTTGTTCCGTGCTAATAAAAAGGACGCGCCTGTGGACACCTAATGTCCTAGCGGTCCTAGAATATGCGCCTAACGATGTTGGAAACATATAGTTGGGAACTGGAATGCCACATATACTTGAGATTATGCTGACTACTCAAAAATAAGATAAAAAATTCCCTTAAATACCGTCGCGCGAACGGGATTGTTGAAAACAGTTTTTCACGTATTAATCATTATAAATGCAAATTAGGAACAAATCTGTTTATTTAATTTCCTTCAAAATAAACTTTTTAATGTAACGCTTAATTATCAATCTACTGAAAACGTGAAAAATTAAGACATAAAAGAAAGGGATATTTAATAAAAATTTTTTGCTAGAAAAAGATATTGATTTAAAGTCAAGAAAAAAACTCATAGATAAAATTTATTCGCATATCTTTACAGCACATATCGCGTATTCGAGAATTTTGCAGCGAAATTAGTATTCCGATCAATCAAGTTTTAATATATCCGCAAATATTGATCGCCATCGTCTTTTTTAATCAGCTCTAATTTTTTTTATTTTATTCATGATGGAGTTAGTTTCTCGTAAATAATAATCGAATTAAATATATAGCAAGAAGATATCTGCTTACATTAAAATTTAATATTTAAATTTTCGAAAGTCGAAAATTGTTTAAAAATTTCGAGATTCTTTTCTACATTTTATCCCACTTTAGATAAATTTTAGCTTAAGCAAAAAATATACAGGCTGAGACATAAACGAAAGACTTTATAATCGTAATTAAAAACATTACATGATAACCACACATATAATAATATCTTTATAATCTTATTTTGCACAATTTGTTCTATATATTATTTTATAAAATAAATCTTATATACAAATTTGTGTTTAATGTGAAACACACAATGCTTGTAAGCATTGAAATTAAGCAATGTCCTTATTTCTATAAACAAAATGCTATAAACATACAATGATATAAAATTGATGAGTTTCATTATACAAAGAGGAAGAAAGATTATTGTTAGCAAATAGCAGCAACATAAATTTTTATTTATGTATATTTTTATATATGTATTTATATATAGGTATAGTAAGCGCATTACGCGATATCGATTGATTAATAAATGCACAGTTATTTTTTTAAGATAACATATACTCTTTTAAGATAAAAATAAATAGTATCCAACTTAATGTGTGCATATTAAATAATTAATAAGAATATATGTGTGAACGCGTTATTACGTGACATTTCGAGGCTATTGTAAAGATTCTGAGTTTTAAAACTCGCCAGACAACCGCAACAACGTGAAACATAATACAAGTTGCACCAGCCAGTCCTAAGCTCAGCCATGCGAAGCGGGCAGCCAGCGGCTAAGAAACGCGACTTACGAATCAGATTACATCTTGCGTTGGCTGCTTATCTTTATTCTTCACCTTACATCGCAGCGATTCACCTCATTTCGCTTGAGTGACCAACCCTTCGATCAGCGTCTTATAACAGGACGCTCGGACGCACGTTAATCATATGAACACAAATTCTTGAACCTCTCAAATATCGGCGGAATTTTTCGGATAATTAGATTAATCACGGAAGATGGAAAATCAATAATAGTATATAATTTTCTATAAAATTATATTAAGAAAATCAGAGTACACAAAACAGATTGATGATACAGCATGAAAAGTGAAAAAACCTTAACAATTAACAATTTAATTTCAAATATCTGGCATATTTCATCAAGATAAACAATTATTCTAGATTAATTGTCGAATAATTACAATTACCAAACATTATTTTGTGTTGCTTATAAACAGAAAAAAGAGTGTGTTTTACATATATTCTAGCTAT